AGTACCGAACGTGAAGTCCATCCCTCTTCTCGTTTCACCAATACGGATGTATGGCCTCAATGTGGTTGATGACCGCGAGCTGATCATTATACTGCCAGCTAGTACCTGTGTGTTGTGTCGAGCTCGGCTCGGGGGTCGCATAGCAGTTGGGTATCTTTCTCTTGTGACCACCTGGTTAGCCTCGAGTACAAGCTGCTTTATTCTTCGCAATCTTCTGACATTGTGCTAAAGAAGAATTCCAATATAGGGAAGGTTGTATCTTCCACAGCTCCCCACCAAACTAGGCCACAGAACTCAATGATATTCCGGCTGCCTCTCTTCGGCCCGCTTCAGCAACTGATTCCGGCTCATGGCAAGACTGAATGAAGTGGGAGCATTCGAGCCCTGTAGTAATCAGAAGGTATCTTGCAAGATGAGGCATTCCCGAATGATATGGAAGTTGCAGTGAAATTGAAAGGAAGGAGGAGCATGTGTAAGCCATTTGGTGGTATTACCTTCCCGGCATCACACCTTCCTTTCATTAGGCAGGTCGTGGGCTCTTTCCTGCTATAATTGTGTCGTCCCCTTCTTCAGATACTTACATATACAAAGTTCCTTCTCCCGTTTTCCCACCTCGGTCTTCCCCCCTTCCCTTCTCTCTCGCCCTTTCCCCCTTCTTCGTTTCTTCTCCTGTGCCCATCCCCAGTCACTCGAATACGAGTGAGCCGGCTTTCACTCGTTCACTCCTACTAGTATCCCCGACTTTCGTTTGTTTGAATACTTCTAGCATCAGTGGCTCGCCAGGTACGATCGTCAACCATATTGTGTGCTACGAACTTTGTACTGAGGCCGCTTCAGAAGAAACTCCGAATATGCGAGCCTTACATCTCACTGTCGTCTTTGTGACGGTAGTCGGTCTGCCATTCTTTGCTACAGGCGTGACAGCTTCCGCCAATGCCGATGAACTCAAGCAGCGGGACAAAGTCGAGTCTCACGCCGCTGCCCTCAAAGTTGAACATCACGCGAGGAGCCCTCATGATCCCGATGCATTCACCAGCTACGACTATGGATACACCTATCCGCCGCCTCCCTCTCCCACCTCTTACGGTGACCAGCCGCCGTCGACCGTGATATCCTCTGCTAATAGTGCTCATGGTCAGTCGATTATGTATTTCGGATACTGCTCTCAGACTGACCTGCGTAGTATCTTCAACTGAAGTCGGCTCGGTCGCCAGCGACTCCAGCACATATGGCGTCTCTGACTCTGTTACTCTGAGCTTAACTGTCTCTGCTGGAGCTACCATCACTCTGTCCAATGCCGTCACGTACCCCCCTAGTTCTGATAGTACTTCAAGTACTGCATCTTCAAAGGTGGCTAGCACCATTGTGACATTGAATTCATCCAGCTCCATCGCTTCAAGTGTATCATCATCACTTTTAACAGAGTCGACTCTTTGGCCGCCAGCCAACACTTCGACCAGAACCGCAACGTCATCCATTTTTGCAACGTCACTGAGCGCCAACCAGACAGCTTCTTCGGAGACCATATCTGGCACCTTTGCCTCCGCGTCCGAAGTCAATAACGGCACGGCCGTATCCTCGACTGGTTCAGCATCGGCCACTTCCACGCCCACGCCGCCATTCTCTGCATTCAATTCATCATCCAAGATACAGACTGGCACCGGTGGTCCATTTTCAGCCTCTTTCAACACATCCACGTCGATAACATCTCTCTTCGTCTCTTCGGAACAAGCTTCTACGTTGACCCAACCTGTGGAAAGTCCGTGGCCTACGCTCTGGAATTCAACTGGTTTCCCCACCTCGGTGACCAGCTCCCAAACTTACTCACCCAACTCGTCCTCATTGAGAACTTCTTCCGTTGACTTCTCGGTGTCCGCAAGTTCCTTCATAGTAGTCCCTTCTGTCGTCACTCTCAGCGCCAACGGAACCGTTCGGTTGACAACTCTCTCGCATACTCTACAGGCCACTGTCGGATGGAATAGCACACAATCAGGTGCTCCGGTCACAGGCATTCAGACCACACTTGGTACGGGCATCTCTACCAGCGTCTTAATAAGCTCTCGAGTCTCGGGAGCTCTACCAGTCAACTCCTCGACGGTCGATGGCCATGTAAACCGAACCATTTCAAGTAGCCCGACCGGAAACTGGACCTCACACCCCGTCGTTACAGTGATTCTGCCTACTTCAACTCTCGTCATCTCGGGAACAGGATCCATCGTCCGAACAAGCATTGCTGTCACTGCCGCGCCTTGGTTTCCGGCAAACTCGACAATATGGCCAAGCGGTACGCTTGCCTCTATTAGTGAAGAAAGTCCACCGCCTGCGCCATCTGGCACGGGTACATTTCCTTCGGCTGCCAATAGCTCCAGGGCAACAGGGCCATATCCCGCGTCGAACACGACTACTCTAACACTGCCGACTGGAAGTGCGAGCAGTCGAGTGTCAGGTGCTCGAATTACGATCTCCGCGAACGGGACAGGTTTTACTGCTCCATGGAACTCGAGTACGATCATGACTCTGACAAGAGGCTCCACGGCGGGAACAGTAGTCATCACATCGATCGGCAATGCCACAAGCATAACAGCTACGCTCGCCACCCCTCCTCAACTACCAAATTCCACATGGGCCGCGAGTGCTAACGCCACTTGGATGGCAACGAGCCATTCCGGGGATCCAGCAACCTCCAATAAGACTTCGATAGGGGCTTCGGCCACTTTACCTCCATGGCCAGTGTTCAACTCCACCCAGGCATCACTCACTGGCACCGTTTCAATCCCTGCCATCACCCCGTCGGCAACTAGTATATCAAACACTACTGCCTCGGCCTCGGCATCGTTTCCTTGGATCAACTCGACATCTAGCGGGGGCCTCACGGCCTCAGTCATTACCGTGAGTGGAGGCAGCACAATCACTTTGTGGCCAACCGGGATGACTCCCAGCCTGACTTCGTCCTCAAATGGGACGCTCCTGCAGACGTCTACAGCCAACGCCACAAGCAGTTTGACGTCTTCAGCAGCATCAGCCCTCTTTCCCACATTCAATTCAACCCAGATCCCCTGGCCCACTGCGATCAACAGCTCTGGTATGCCGCCTTCTACGGTGTACTCAGGAACCGTTGCCATCACTTACACATCCATCGGAAGTGAACGACCACCTTTTCCCACAACCAACTCCACCAAGTTATCCGGGCCTACAGGAAGTGGCACATGGGCTTCAGGGACGTTATTTCAAACCTCCGAGCCCTCAGAAACATCCAATAGTACTTCGTCTACCGTCAATTTGCCGCCATTCCCGACAACAGGAAACGCCACTGCTATTCCAAGGCCAACTTGGATCCCTGCCACAGCATCAGGACTCCCTGTCACTACTCTGACCGCTACCGGAGCAAACGGCAGCACTACGCAGACACTCTCAATCGTTCCCCTGCCTCCTTTCCCAACCTTCAACGGTACGACAACTCCAGGCGCAACGGGCACCTCGGCCGGCACGGGATTCAGTGTCACTTGGAGAGGCACAGGTGGTCCATTCAGTGCTCCGACAGATCCAAGTTCAACTTGGAGTCAGTGGCCCAACTCAACTGCGTCAAACATGTTGTCAACCACTAGTATACCAACAACGCAATCCGGCACTGCTCCTTTGCCTACTCCACGAAACACGACAACGGTCACAAATGCAAATGGCACGGCCTTCTCAACGGGATCTCCACCCGTTACTATTGGTCATCCCTCCTCGCTACCCCCCTTTAGCAACTCAACCACCATCTCTGGAGCAATCTCAACGTCTCATTTCACCTGGACTATGTCAGGATCCGTCTTCTCTTCTGTGTCTATATTACCTGTACCTACACTGTCGCCTTTCAACTCATCTAGTTCTCGAGTTTCTTCCGGCACCGCGCCATCTTCTGGACCCTCTCTTACCGAGTCGGCGGGCCCAGCTTTGACCAACTCTGCCAGCCTTCCATCTGGAGCTTCTTCGGCTTGCAACACTGTCACTGTAACAAACGGCACCGTAACTCAGGTCGTCACCACAAGCATTCTCATCAATTCCGCTACGGCGAAGGCTGATCCAACCGTGGTCTACCCACCATCCTCTTCAAACAACACAGCGTACACCGCGTACCCATCCAGATCTTCCTGCAGTTCCAGATGGCAGAATATCACGATAGCGTCGACGGCAGGGTTCACAGGTTCGTGGACGTCTTCAGCTAGAACAAATCGTAAGTCAGAACCTCCCGACCTAATTTAGTCAATCTAACAACATCGCAGGAACCTGGACATCTGTAGACCCAGCCACGACATTCATCACATCAACGACAAGCCGCTTGAGCAATCCCAGCAGAGACAGCGGCGCTTTCTCAGATACCAGCTTCTCCGTAGCCGGCACGCCTACCACAACCATCTCTAACATGCCTCTCCCTTCGAGCCCGGCGTACCCCTGGGGAGGACTTGGTCCCATTTTCCGACACCACAGCGGAACTGAGCCTATTGACGATGATGCAGGGTCTCCCGATGGGCCAGTGGTCCAGGGGAGAGACGGGGTCTGGTAGGCTCGGTGGAAGAAACACATGGATCAACTCGCATCTCGTGCTCGGGCAAGGAATCCGGGTGCTTAAGTCTCACGACGAAGACGAATGCCTGTTTGCTTCTATCCTGATATCCATTGAACTGCGTCAGGACCAGCGCACACGTACCCATACCAAGAGTCTCTTTTGTACCGCAACCCGACAGATGGCGTGCCTGGAGTTATTTCCTAGCTAGAGTGAATGGAAGAAAAATTGGAATGGCTGTCCTGATAAACCATAAAGATAACCCAGGTTCTTCCCGTGATGAAACGCTTCTCTGTCCTTCGCCGGCCGTTGATGAACCATGCTCCCTCATTGCAATACGCCAAAACACCATGATCCATATGCGAAATGGAACCCCCTAGTAAACCGCCAGCCCGGTAGTCTATCATGATTTCCCTACGCCCAATAATGTCCCTAACTAGAGGAATATGAACGGCTAATGTATACCCTCCGGTGGATTAGATCCACTCGTCTCCGCCACCGTCGGCTTCCGCCCGTACACAACGTATCTGTACCAGGCAAGTCAGCACATAGTCTCTCTAATCTCGATCATCAAGAGGAACCGAACTCACAAAGGAACATAAGCATGCACCTTATGGCTCCTCAAACTCTTCCTCACTGTCGCGCAAAAAAGCAGCGTCTCCTCCTTACTCCACCCCAAATTCCTCGTCGCGAGCCCCAACGTCAACCCTTCGAGCCCGTGGTCGAGGTTACAGTGCGTGTACGCGCCCAACGTCTTGAAGTGCGGGTCGCGCGGCCACGCGTTGACGGGCCACTTGAATTGTTGTTCTTCAACGTCGACGAAGCCCGCGGTGCGCATGAGGGTGGCGTAGGTGGGCGCCGCGTCCATGTTGCGGCCTGTTACACGGCCGCCTCTGAGGAAAAGGTCGGAGAGTTTGTGGATTGGGGAGTCTGGCGTTAGGGATGCGTCGTCGCAGCGGTAGGGAAGGGAGAGGTCTTGCATTTCGAGGTAGCCGCCTGGTTCAAGGTTTCTGGGTGGTTAAGAAGGTGAGTATTTGAGTGGCCGCTAGGGATAAGTGTGCATAGAATGAGATGGACGGGTATGAGTGTGAGGGTAAGAGTGAGAGAGAGAAGTTTGAGACACACTCGAAGGCTTGGTTGATAAAGTCTTGGTAGTTTTTGAGACTCCCTGCTAGCATGCGGACAAAGATGAAGTCGAACGGCTGAGACCATGTCCAATTCTGCTCTAGGTCGTCCAGCTCCCATGTTAAGTTCGGAGGTGTCCTGCCATCCCGACGTCAGTGAGCACGACAATGAGATTTTTTCCCACTTGATGAGCCTACCATTTTGGCTGGATGTTGCTCAGATCTACACCAATGACCTAGATTGAAGACCGTCTTAGTAGTCGTCGGTCGGGATGGAGAGGATCTCATCGGCTTGCCTTGGCTTCCGGGTGTGCGTCCGCTGCAATTTCAACATCGTCAATCTCACAACCCCAAAGCAAGGTGAGGCAGGACTCAGTATATCTCACCGTAATCCATCGCCCAGATCCCGGTGCCCGTACCGGCGTCCAGCACGCGCTTTGCCTTTTGTGAGTCCTTAGGACATAGGCATAGCTTGTCGCCCAGCGTCACTGTCCACATGAGGTGTTGGAAATCTGGTTTGAGATGATACAAATATGAGCTTCAGGGTTCCTTTCCAAATCCGCACACCGAAAGAAAGAGGAGAGATGCAAACCTAGGCGCTCCTGCTCGACAATATCGTTGGGGAACGGGTATTCTGTTTTTATATCGTCAGTCAAGGCCCCAGCATCGGAGAGGTGGTTCACAAGGCACTGCTCACTCCCGGAACTCATTGCGTGATATGTCCTGCCATTCTCCTCCAGCACCGTCAACATACTCGGGGTAGGCGAGTCGGTACTGCCATTCCGAAGCTGCAGCACATGATATCGTTAGTCTATGGCTGATGCTATCTGGGAAACATTATGAGAGCCAGGCTCTCGTTGCGTTTCCGGTGGCATCTTTGGAGCTCTAGCTGCGCGGGATGTGACGTGAAACGCCGCCACGTAACTAGACATGAGAAAGGTACAAAGTGGGTGGGGGGGAAGAACGCAAGCTGGGCAGAACAAAACACTCATACCTCCGAGATTGCCGAGTCCGAATCAAAGGTATCGGGCTCCTAGAAACACAATCAATTAGTTAAACCAAAACCTCGCAGTATGAGCTCTCGTCAAAAAAACGCACCAGAGGTTGCCCAGCGGCAGCCATATCTCTTCGCTCTGGAGTTCTCCTCGGTCGTTTTGTCGATGTAAATGTTTGTAGGTTGGTAGATTGAGAAAGCCGACCCCGGTTTGGGTTCGGGAAAAGCAAAAGGTGGATAACGGTCGTTCCAGGGATGGTGAGGGTACGGGGAAGAGGGCCCCGAGGACTCACTCCTGCGCAAGGAGGGCAAGGAAAGGGGAAAGGGGAAGAGGAGTCAGGTCGGAGCTTAATCCGATGGCACTTGCGCGCAACATCGACCCTCGGCACACCTTATGATTACAATTTTCTTGTCCGTAATTGCCTTGTAGAGCAATCCCAATCCCAATTTCAGTCCCGGCCTTCCGTAAACGCGTAAACGGGTGAAAGAAGTAGGGACGGCCCCCTCTTTTTGGGCAATCAGGCACATCATACATGCCGCACCTCCCCGGGCATGGCAGGGTACCAAGACGGGATCGAATCTACCTTGTTCAACGCCGGCGGCTATGAGGAAACTTCCTATGCAGACTACCTTATGAATACCTTATCACGGAGACTAGTGTAAGGTAGAGTGCGAAAGAACATGACATCGCTTCAAAAGAGTGTCCTGAAGGAAAAAAAGGCAAAAGCTCGGGCACGGTCGTGAACTTTGAGTTGTGATGATCATGCAGGGACCAGCAAGTGCCGAGATTGATTCGTCGGCCGTCCGGGAAGGGGGTTGGGAAATGACGGAGGACATTTGTCAAGTTGCTGGATTCAGATTCTCAAAGCCGCTTTATCCGCGGAGTTATCTTTGCTGTGCACAGAGCAAGTTATAATACCTACGCGTTCATATTTGCTGGAATTACGCTCCGTTTATCCCTCTTCTTCTGGATACTGCGTTGGTTTGTGAATGGCATGACTCGGGTTTAGGTTTTTCAGAGTTTTGTTTATCCAATCTTTCGAGTTGCATTGTGTCGTATTGTCGCGTCGTTGATAGGGCACACCGCATACCTCCAGTGGGGGGGAGGGGGGGGGGGGGGGGTTCTTGTGACCCGTGGTAGCTTCAACAATGGTTTTGTTAGTTCGCGTCTACACGAAATTGTGTCAGAGGTGGCTCTTCGCTCCGGAGAATCTTACGTCGCTGCCGGCGCCGAGGGCTCAGTCGGAGAAAGTGGGCCCCGCGCGGCACGGGGCTCGGAATCGAGCAGTGATAACCTGACCCGGGCCTGCTAATCAAGGTGCCATGGTACCGGAAGGAAAGCCCACTACCAGTAACCGATGAGAAGAGAACTAAAGGGAGAGTGGCAGCTGTATCTTAATGTTGTACTGATATTTCAGTTCAGAAGAGGCTCAACGATATAGCACACTTTGATGATGCGCAAGTTACCTTACCCGCCAAATCTCGAGTGTCTCTTCTCACTTTTGCTACCCATCGTTCCGAGTTTCAACGAAGCACGAAGATCAATGCTCTGATTGTTTAACAGCCATCTCTCCAGCATGAAACATACTCGTCGCCATGTGACCTCATGATACTTCGCCGTCGTTACCTTGCATACTTACCTTGGGTAGTAGCAAACATCCTCACGCAAAACACACGGGGACCAAAGCTCCATACCAAAGTGTACAGCCTCTGATCACCCAAAGGTAACGGCAGAACACAACATATTTCCTAATCTAGATGTACCACTTCTAAACCCTCTCGTCGTTATGATCCCCCGGACATCCCGGCCGGGACCGAGTGCCGAAGAAGGCCGCTTACACAATCCGCCCGCCCATCGCAAGTCCCGAGCCAGGACCCGGGGGTGACGCTCGGACCCCGTCTGCACTACCCCTCCAAGCCCTCCACCGACTTCAGAGTCTCCCGCGACAGGTTGTGGGGGCGGGGCAGCGCTAGTACCCCGCAGAACGCCCTCTCCTCTATGAAGTCAGAGACTCAGACTGAGTGCCGGAGGGGATTATCACCCAGGTAGGTACCTAGCTAGGGATGTGGTGGAGGAGGAGGGGTAGAGGGGGAGAATTACCGTATCTTCGAGTCTTGGGGAACTATCAAATGACAATGTGCTGACATACCTCTTTCCAAGCAGTTAATCCTAGGACTTAGAGACTTGTTCCGTAAATCCGTTGTGTTCTGAAGTGTCCGACTACGTCCAAGGTGCGGCGGATTTGCCGCGACGCGGCTAAGGTATCACCCGTCGACCAACACTCGAAATTCAGACCATCTGTACTGCATGGTACAGCTAGGTAGCCCACTCGGAAATCAGCGATTACAGAGCATTACATAAAGAGTGCCCCTCCCTCCGAAGAGTACCACCTCTGCCAGATAAATCCGGGGTCCTTGATATTAAAGATAGACGAGGCGAGCAAAGAGAAAGCCGTTACTATCTCGACTGGACATTTGAGAAGCAAATCGGACCCTTGTCGCTGCCTGCATCTAGATCACACACAATTAGCAAGCAACAATGGCTCAAAACACACCAGAGCTCCTGGATCTCACGATCGACAACATCACACCCAACACTGTTCGCATCAACTCGCAGAGCGACAATGCACGACTCAAGTACCTCATGGAACGGCTCGTCACCCATCTGCACGACTTTGCGCGGGAGACGCGGTTGAGCACTGACGAATGGATGGCGGCGCTGAATTTCCTTGTCGGCTGCGGACAGATTAGCAGCGACGTGCGGCATGTAAGTCGGCGCGCGGTGCACCCGTCGTGAATATAGCGGATGGCTTCAGGACTCCTGACGAACGACGCTGACCGCCCGACTAGGAGTTCATTCTCCTCTCCGATATCCTAGGCCTCTCCCTACTCGTCGACAGCATTAACCACCCCAAGCCATCCGACTCCACCGAAGGCTCCGTCTTGGGGCCATTCCACACACACGATGCGCCGACTCTAGAGAACGGAGCGAATATGTCGGGAGATCCTGAGGGCGAACCGCTGCTGGTTGTGTGCACCATCAAGGACCGACAAGGTAACCCCATCTCCGGAGTCAAGATTGACATCTGGGAGACGGACAGCAGTGGTCACTACGACGTGCAGCACGAAGGGAGGACAGAAGCAAGCGAGCGCTGTGTCATGATCTCGGATAAGGAGGGTCGCTTCTTCTTCCAGGGAATCAAGCCCGTGAGCTATCCAATTCCCCACGATGGGCCGGTTGGAAAGTTGCTTTCTCTCCTGGGGCGTCATTGCTGGCGGCCAGCGCATCTGCACTTCATGTTCCAAAAGGAAGGCTGGGACCACTTGATCACGTAGGTTTTTCCGCCCTTATCTATTGCTCCATTGTAAGAGCTAGCTCTTTCAAGAACCCGCCGTCCGTTCCGTTCCGATGCGGATGGCCAGGGTTGGGTGAGATGGATCATGGATCTGGCTGACGCAATCAACTAGCGCACTCTATATCCGGGGAGATCCATATGAGAAATCGGATGCGGTGTTTGGTGTTAAGAAGAGTCTTGTTGTCGACCTCGATAAGGTGGACAAGGCGACGGCAGAGGAGTATAACGTCAAGGAGGGCGGATGGTTGCTGAAACAGGACTTTGTGTTGGTCTCGGAGAAGGAGACGCAGGAGCTGCGGGACCAGAATGCTATCGAAGCATTGGGAAAGCTGGGTCTGACACATCTCAAGCTTGTCGACCATTTGCCGGTGCCAGAGCTTGACTGATGAATGTGGAATTGTAATGAACATTTGAAGTCTTTAATTTCCATTTCGTGAGTTTACGATCGAGTGGCTTAAGCGCCTTGACCACGATCCTGCTTTTGCTCGACCATGGTCTGAAAGGCTCTGGGATTGTTGGATTGTGACGGAGGACAGGGACATGCTAGTCAGCTCTCAGTGACGCATCGTGGAGCCGCATCCGGAGACTTGATAGTTGTAGGGCTGGGCGCTGAAAGCGGCAAGGCCGGCTGGCAGCAGATGGTCATTGTAGAGTCGGGACTGGTCAAGGCGCAAGGTCTGGAAGCCGGCCGAGTTGGCGTTGATGCAGATGCCGCAGACGCAGGGAGTCAGGATTTGTCTTGCAGACGAAACAAACAACATTGTGCCTCTCTCTTGGGCTGGCGCTTTTCCAGGGGGGTCCCCTATCAGATGATTGCCCATGTCTCAGTCCTTGAAAGTACGTGATCGTTGGAGGTATGTAGTGGCTGCCGACGAGAGACCTCTTGCAGCTGTATGATGTATCGAGGAAGCTCCGGTGGCGCCGACGTCCTGGCAGAGAGCTGGCAGAGGCCTCACGGTGGCTGTACCTGGGAGCCGGGTAGCGCAAGGTGCCGAGATACGAGCTGCAGATGGCATCCATAGATTGTTTGGGCATCCCGCCGACTAAACCGCAAATAGCCAGGGACAATCATGGGGTCGCGGCGGCGGCGCGCGAGTCGATGAGTCCAGCCACAACTAGGTGTGGGCCGTGCTGGTGTTGGTGTGACTGTTGCTTCTGTGCCAAGTGTGACCACCAACCAAACCTCTGCAATGAGGTATCCATATCCATAGTCGTCATCTTGTGCAGGGCAGGACTCGGACGGGTTTGTCACAAACAACGTGCTCACTGCGAGGGCTGACTTTGGGATGATGGGCGAAGGGTGAGTAACACACGTTGAACTGTGCGAAGTACAGAGGGGCAATGCCTTTCGGAAACTACCATAGGTAAGGCAGAAGAACATGCGGGTGATCAGAAGTTCCATTGCCTTATCTCTCCCAAGTCAAGGTACCTTATCGGGCGCAGTCAGCGGCTCACGCGATTCCGTTTCCCACTGGTTCAGCCAGAGCAGGCACGGGAAACGGCCAGTGGCCTGTGCCTGCCCTGTGCAATAGTTGCCCCTCGTGCCCACCTGCACCTTCCAAGTCCCCCGGTTTACTCGCACCAGGGCAGGAGGGCCTGAGACCCAGCCAAATCAGGTACCTTATCCGCCCATCGCTACCTAATACAGGCAGAGGAGTTGAGATAGGTACCTGACTGCATCGCTCTTTGTAACTCTGTTCAGTGCCCGCCCGAACCCGAGTCCGTCATTCCTTCCGTCCCAAGTTACCAATTTTGCGGGCTGCCCGCCTGCC